TTAACATTTTTTTAGAATTCCTCTTTTTTTATTCCACAGAAGAAAGAAATTCAAATCATTAAATTATAATAAATGTAACTGTGTGTGTGTGTGTGTGTGTGTGTGTGTGTGTGTGTGTGTGTGTGTGTGTTTGTTTGTTTCTGCAGATATCTTGCCTTATACAAAGGACTGATTCCCAAGATAATGAGACTTGGACCAGGTAACATAAATAAAGTACACCTAAAAATGAAAACTCTGTCATCATTTACTCACTTTCTTTTCTTCTGTGGAACAAAAAAGAAGATATTTTGAGAAATGTCTCAGTGTCTTTTGTCCATACACTAAAAGACAATAGTAACTGTTTTGGTTCTTCCTCAAAATATCTTCTTTTGTGTTCTGCAGAATAAAGAAAGTCATACAGGTTTGGAACGAGGATGAATAAATTATGACAGAATTAAATCTTTTAGGTGCACTGTCCCTTTAACATATCATAATTATCCATGCCCTTTAACTGTTGTTTACTTTCTGAATATAGGAGGCGCAGTCATGCTGTTGGTTTATGAATACGTATCTGACTGGCTGCAAAAGAACTGGTGATCATCTGCACATCACCATCAGTCTGTACTCCATCCCTTCCAGGTCGATCAAACACAATGCCATGATTGTTCCTCAACAATCAACACTACCAACCACATTCAAAATCACAGCTCCTCAGACATGTGACATGTAGACTCTCCACCACAGATGCTTTGCAACAGCACAGTCACTCCCTGGTTCTTGACATTCCAAGTCTCGTTTATATATAACAGAACACAACTACTGAGACATCTGAGAGTTACCTGTCCGCATGCCTGCATATGTAATAGTAACCACAGCAGCTCTACACACCCTAACTGAAAATACCAAACAGAAACAGCACCTCATTTTTAACCTATATTCAGAATTTTTGACTGAGCAAGACTGAATTACAGTAAGCCTGAGGGATGTGTCTGCTGTCTTCTGGATGGCTTCCTTAGGACTTTGACTTTATTAGATTTGGTTGTAAATCCGTCATACTGTATTTCATTTTCCATGTTGAAGCTATTCAAAGCTCTCAAGGTCCCACTTCTCAATAGCCGTGTCAACAGTGTTTCAAATTCAAAGCACCCTTGATGTGCTTAGCGCTTGAAAATGTGTTAAGCAAAATCATATTGGTAAATTTAGACATAAGCACAAATTGAATTATAGGCATTCAAATGGATTTCAAAATCATTTTTGATATACAATAATTATAAAACTGTAATTATAACAACTTGTTAGCACAAAGTGGTTACAAGTATTCATGTAATAGCTGTATTTTGCTAATAAATGCTCCTGAACTACAATAAATCTGTGAAATTGGTTGTTGGTGCCTTGAAATAAAACTCTTCAAAATTACACATTTTGACCAGTGAATTTTATGACGTTTCCAGTTGATTTCTAGATGAAAATAAATATTTTATGAAACATTTTATTTAGTTTTTTTCTTTAAATATTTTTATTTACTTCTAGAAATTTCCATAGCAATTTTAAAATGTGCTGATATTTAAAAGTTTTCCATAACTGTTGGCCTGCGTCTTTTGAAACATTGCTGTTGTTTAACATTTAAATCATTTGAATTTTTAGGCTTAAAGGGTTAGTTCACCCAAAAATTTAAATTCTGTCATTAATTACTCACCCTCATGTCGTTTTAAACCCGTAAAGCCTTTGTTCATCTTCGGAACACAAATTAAGATATTTTTGATGGAATCTGAGAGCTGTCTGACCCTGCATAGGACAGCAACGCAACTGAAATGTTCCCAAGTCCTGAAACGTAGCAAGGAGATCTGTAAAATAATCCACGTGACATCAGGGGTTCAACCGCAATTATTTGAAGCTACGAGAATACTTTTTGTGCACTTTATTGTTGAATAAAGTCGTTTTTTTTTTTCTTTTGCACACAAAAATTATTCTCATAGCTTCGTAAAATTACGGTTGAACCCTTGATCGACTTGGGAACATTTCAATTGCGTTGCTGTCCTATGCAGGGTCAGACAGCTCTCAAATTCCATCAGAAATATCTTAATTTGTGTTCCAAAGATGAACTAACGTCTTACGGGTTTGAAACGACATGAGGGTGAGTAATTAATGACAGAATTTTCATTTTTGGGTGAACTAACCCTTTAAGTTCATTTACTGTAATTTACTGGTTTGTTACTTATAATTCCTTGTTATTAGTGATAACAGATTACAGTGGGAAAGGAATCTCTGTGGTGACAATCACTAGCGATGATGTATCACCTGATTTTTTTTTTCTCCCTTCATACTGCACTCCAGTATGTCATCATAGCGTCTTGAGCCAAGACGCTCGCTCTCACTCATCTCTCCTGGCCTGCAGGCTGATTCATCATAGCTCAGCACAACTTAAAATAACAAAACTGAAAAATGCAACTAAAATCTAAACAATCAGGACGGCCTCTCAATGCTGTCATAATAAAAGTATGAAGCGCTGCGGCCTACAGTAGATGGGGAAGACAGTTTCATATTATTCACAGTCTACCTCTGTGTTGCTAAAAAAGATAACTAGTTGGATGAGTTAAAACAATACGTCATCCTTTGAATTCCACCCTGACTACATTTCCCTCCTTCGCTTTAAAGGTCATGTTTTATGTCACTTCGTTGACTTGAAGACAGTGAAGGCAATTGTTATTCTCATCTTATGTATAGATGTCAGTCTGAGTTGCACCTCAGGCTCTCATCCTCCGCTTCAACTCTTGATTGGTTGTACGCTGTCAGTCCTTTCAACGGCCTTTTAAAGCTTCTCTGAGTTACAACACCGAAGGCTAACGACACCAGACACATTTTCAGACTGTGCTCATAGTTTTCCGCTAAATGCTTAAAAGACCTTCTTCCAAGTCATTTGAAGCATTATTTCAGATAATTTAGTCTTTTGTTATATAATCCCTTAACCTTTCTCTTCCTTTCACTCTTTCGTTTGAAGTTTTTCCCCGCCGTTTCTTCAGATTGCGAGGTTTCACTGTGGCAGCCAGATATACACACTGTACCAGAAGAACGAGCAAAAACTGACACTTACCTTTGAGCGTTTAAGACATACTGTTCTAGCACACGAGGGAAAACAGTCTGCTTATGGTCAGCCGGCCTTTAAAATCAAGCTAGCACCTCGGCCCGGTCCACCCACAGCCCCCTGTACAGTGTTACGGTGCTCCGTGCTCTTGTCTTCAGCCTGATTGCACACAGTCAGCTAAAGATAACCATGTGACATTTGACTTGATTTTCCATAGGAATTCATTCTAAACAGATGTGGGCGCGTGAGCAAATGTGTTTTCACTTTCCTCCGTTTCAATGGTGGCTTTAAGATTAAGGTGTTTGTCACATTTCCTCCTGTCATGACTGTACGTGTGCTGCGCCGCCTTGAAAAAATACACTTTTTCTGTGTTATTTCAAAAACTTACCAGTGATTTTTAAATTAGATTAATCGCCACGTTTTACGACTTTTTTGACTGTATGTTATTATGTGTGGCAAACTCCCAGTTGTAATGAACCAAAGTGTCATGGTTTTTCTCAAATAGGCCGGTCTTGCTGTGTTCTCTGTACGTTCGCCTTTGTTTTGAGAGGTTTTTTTTAACGTCTGTTGACCCTGTATTAAATGAACGACTGTGATGTGTGCCTCCAGTCGATTCATTTGTATTGTCAGCAAAGCCAACGTCCGTATCAATGCTGTCAGAGTAGGAAAATGGCATTCAAAGTTGTTCATTTGAATAGAATAGGGTCTTGGGAGTTTGTCTGGTGCATTGTGACATGTGATACCCTCTATGTGTGGTGGCTTTGTGTCTGCCTTTTTGGTGGTGTATATGTGTTCAAAACAGCACCTCGATCCCGAAGCAACGGTCCGTGACCACGGGGTTGGGGTGAAAGTGTTTTCCAAGTCAAATCAGCAGCAGTGCCTGCCAGAAGGACTGTTTGCGCTGCAACATGTGGGGATCTGCGTATATCGTAACGTTAGGGACAGAGAGCGTGTGTTTGTGAATTGTTGGCATGGAGGTGGTGTGTTTGTGGAGGTTGGGATTTCTGAATATAAATGTATTTTGTTGTGTTTGTCATGTTTTAAACATTACATGGAGCTCAATGCTATGTCTTTCATTTTTATGCTGTTTTGGACCACCAAAAAAGGAGGCAGTGGGTGTTTAAACAGTGGGGAAGCTTTACCCCATTATGACATGCAGCCCATTAGCTTTTCCTTTCTCTCATAACTGTATTGTTTCACATCAGCTCTGACTTTAGATAAAGCTCAGAGGCAGGAGCGCTCAGGAATGTGTGGCCATTCATGTAACACCTGAGATGCAAGGCCTTGCAATGGTGTTTGTGCATTCATGTTGCTGCATGTGTGTGTATACGTGTGTTTTTTCTCTTGCTGGGTATATAGAACTTCTATGTGAATTGCATAAATTCTAAGTTAATTCAAAAAACAAATAACAAATAAATTAAGGCATTTGTGTCTACCATTCATCATGCACGGTATTATTAAATTGATCACATTAGACACTACTTTTTGTAAAACCAGAGACTTTTATCTGTCTGTTCTCCATCACCATTCAAGTGTTAGAAAAAGTAATACTGCTAAAATTTTGTCTTTGTATAAATGACATTCATCTACTAAATTAATAGCAATTGTTTAACGCATTGTTTTATAATGGGATGAAACTGTATTCTTTGATTTCATTATTTCACAGCAGAGATTATTTTAAGGATATATAAATAAACTAATAATAAATATAAATAAACCATTATTATTTACAGCTGTTATAATTAGTACACTTAATTTTTTTGCACTTACACTAAATGTAATACACAATTTTTTAAGTAGTAGTAATAATAGAAATTATTAGTATTTATAATATCAGTATTATTATTAGTAGTATATAGTGGGAATGTCATTAATAACATTTCTTCAGAATGAACGTAGGCGACAAAATAAATAATGAAATAAAATGATATTAAACTGGTTTTTACACATGTCTCTTTTAATAAGATACATTCAATTTCATTGTGCAATGCCTGGAGGTGTGCAGCTTCACTGATCATTAATGTTGCATGAATGAATGCTCCTGTTGTCAGAATGTGCGTCAATGTCCCACATAATGCCTCTTCTCCCCGGTGCCGTGTCAGTTGCACTTCATTCAACGTACCTTACAATCTAATAAATAAATGTAATAACTTTTCCCAAGAGCTCTGGCATACAGTATTAGTGAAGTGAAACTGGTATCCAAAAAGACAAAAATATGATTTTTATCAAAAACATTTAAAAAAAGAAACAAAGCAGAACATCTAAACATTAGCGATTTTTAACACCCTGAAAAAAACATTTACATGCAAACTGGTCAGTTGTTTTACATGAGATTTGCTTATTCAATAATTTTCTCGGAAACATACAAGAACAACATATTCACAGAGAAGCACCAAAATTTAACTCTAGTGATGACACAGTTTCATGAGGAATGCCCAACACTATCAGACCAAGTGCACTGCACACCATTGCTGATGTTCTTTACTGATAAATCCTCTGCTCAGATCAGATCGGACTGGACGGCCTTTGCATATCCTCACTCTTGCTCTTTTGTCTTGTGCAAGTGAGAGATGCTGATATGGAGGAAGGGAATGTGGGCATACAGAACGGTAGATGGCTCATCTGACAAGTCTTTTATAAATATTGTAAAGCGATAAAGATCGGTCCATCTAGAGAGAGCCAGGATGAAAATGTCTGAGGTGTTGTGTTTTACCCCATCTCTCTCGTTCTCTGTTGTTGCCTTTCCGTTCTGTTCTCCGAACCCCCCGTGCTCCTAGTACAGTCACAGGGCCGAGGCGGCGACCAAATGGATGGAGTCTCGCGTGGCAGCCGAGCTCTTGAAGGCCAGCGGGGTGGGGATGTCACAGCTGTGGGGAGAGAGAGCACTGCCACTGGGCGGCTGCCATGTGGGGCCGGTCACATAGGCCGACGTGGTGCCGCTGTACCCCATGTAGGGTGACACTTGGGTGGGAGGGTGGTAAGGATGGATGCTGGGAGCTGTGACAGAACTGTTCATTGTGGGCAATCCATTCGGCGTCTGAAAACAGAGAACAGTGAGCGTAAGACTTTAGAGATGAGCCATTGAGATGAGCACAAAGATATCACGACAGCGAGGATAAGATAGTGACGGGTGAATGTTAAAAACAGAAAGGGAGATTTTCTTGCAGAGTCTGTGAATGGAGATAAAGGAGAAGATATTAAAAGATTTGACGGAAATGGAAAAGCTATATGGAGGGAGATGCAAGAGCAGGAATGTCTGTAACCCTTTGGCAGAATGTCAGTATCAGTTCAGGATGAGAGGAATTCATATGATTTACTCATTATGACACTCTTGACCCCTAGCACTAGCACATCCGTGTACATACATACATGGTATTCATTCAATTTTTAATTCATTACTTAAACAGCATAGAAAATAACCAATTTGCATTCTGCCACAATTTATCTTGAATGATTCAAATCATGCACGAACTAATAATTAAGGCGATAGCAGATATTACGGTCAAGCTTGACATAAAAAAGAAAAACTTTGAAAATGTTACACTTCTTATTAAGAATTCACGTATCAATTCTCACGTAACGGTGTATGTGTATATAGCCTAACAGCGTAAAGTATCTGACATACAGGCATGAACATTTTCAGGCGGCTGAAAATGATTAGCTTGTTTCAGTATGATTTTTACGCAAATGATCTGATGTACTTTTTACACATTGTTAACAAAGTGTTATGATTTACCAAGCTCAAAATCCAGTCGTCGGAATTCATCAGCCCTATACCACTGCGCGAACAGAAAAAAAAATTATTGATTCCAAAATGTTAGATAATAAAGCTTTTGCACCAGCATTTGTGAGTTGTTGTGTATTGCAGTGTATATAGCCTATGCGTGGTAATATATTTCCAAACAAATATTTGTGCCTAAACAAAATATTGTGACTAAAATAAGAAGTGACAACTTATTTTAAAATCATTTATTTCAATCGTTTGCTGTATTTTAAGTATGTTGCTATACTGAACAGATCATCAGTTTCTCAGTTATCGTTTTTTTCCAACATCATAGATAGACAATATTATAACATTAAATAAATTAAGCTTAATGTAAGTCATCTTTTATCCTCTAAATTATGTTTCTATCTATTGCGTTTGTTAATGAATCATGTCGTCACGCTGTGAGGATTCAAATAATAGACATATACTCATATAGCGTTATGCTGTAAGGTTTAGATAGTTAAATCTAGTATTTGATATTTGAATAAAAGTTTTCGAAGTAAGCCTAATAATGCTCAGTAAATTGAATATTTATTATCAGCCTACACCTTAATTCACTGCACAGTAAATGTAAATGAAATGTATCGGTTCATTTCGGTTATGAGAAACGCGTAACATAGCCTAAATTAAAATCGTGTGAATGACGATTCATTTTCAAAGACCCTTCTTGGTTTTTACTCATATTTTTTGTTGTTGTTTCAAGCTGTCGGGCTTTCTGACAGATGCAAATAACTTCTTTAAGCCACAGTGTTTTATCTATTTACTGTCTTCATTTATTGCGTAGTCCAGCCTGACTCGTGATATCTGATCATTTATCCAAGATGACAGACTCAAACATTCGGTAGTCAGTGCTATTCATCATCTATCCGAAGGTTACAATCTTCATAAGCAGGCTACAATCTTAATTTTTAGGTTTCAATCAGTACACGCATAATTTACGCTAAAACGATGTTTCAGCATCAGTAACAAAGATTTATTCCATCGTATTCCACGACACATAAATCTCTAAGACCCACAACAAACGATTAGACAATCTGTTTGTTGCTGCCTAGCAGTGCGCGAATAAATAATGCGAGCGTCTGCACCGGATGGCACTTTATCCGCGCGCACTTTCCCCTCTCATCCAAGCGCATGAGCAGCTAGACACTGGTGCAGGAGTTTCTTGACAAATATAAAAACATTTGTCTTTTACTGTTGCTACGGCGCAAGTGTGCAACACCAGTGTGCAGAACAACCAGCCACGAGCCAAAGGAGTTTCCATAATAGCATATTAATAATAACAATCGTGATAATGATGGCAATATCTATCCGAGTATTGCTCTAATGTAAAACAGGTAAGGGGTTTAGCAATCCAACGGTTTCTGGTGAAGATAAAAATGTGCGAATAGAAAATAAAAAAATATAATAATGTATAAGTACACGTGTTTATTAAAGTATAATAGAATGCATATTTATTGAGTAAGGAGCGTTGGCTTCAAGTGTAAATGTGCATTAAAAACAAAGATAGACACTTTTAATATTGATTTATTGTTTATTATATTTTACATTAATGTAGGCTATGTAAAGCAAATGTTTAAGGCTTTAATGAAAGATAATAAGTAATTGATAAGACTTCGATAAGCCGTACACAAAATATTTTCAATTTTAAAACTGAACTATATAATAATTAATCATAAACTGATTGATAAAAATATAAATCTAATAATATTTAACCTTATTGTTCTGTTTTTCTTCGGCTGATTTTGGGTAAACACTGGTTACATAGAAATCGTAAATCATTTATCTCGACACAATAATTTTCTTGAGAAAAAAATCAAAATTCGTTAAGTCTCAGAAAAAAACATATTTTGACTATGTAGTAAAATAAACGTTTATGACAAGTAAACGCATAATTCAAGTAATTCAAGTCTCTTAATCAGAAAAGAACAGGATAAAAAATATTGGTTAAATGTTTAAAAACTATGCAAAATATTAGATCAAAACGTTTATTACAAATGTATTTGTCACACACTCAGTATTACGCTCTCAAAAAAAAAAAAAAACATTGAGGAATATGAATACATTTTAATTCGGAGGTATTGTAGCCCACGCATAAACCTTGCACCGTACAAAAGCTTCGTGCAGCAGCGAAAGCAGACACAAGTAGGCTAAATAGTGTCGTTCATTTTATTAAAATTAAAATGTGAGATACTACATTTAATTTGTAAATACTTCTAAGAAAATGAAACCCAGTGACCCACACTCTGCACAAGGCCTCATATGCCCGCCCGCGCCAACGAACACTCGCATATTCTGTTACACACACACACACATACATACACACACGGAATTGAGAGAGAACAAAACAAGTTATGGAATTTTGACTATTAATTTGCTGAATCGTGTTTTCTTTTTTCCCCTGCTCCTTCCAGATTTGATTTGATTGGTTTTACTGTTAACATAGGAGGCTTCTTTACCTGTGTGTATTTTGCTTCAGGTTCTAAGTGAGGCTTATCCACACCACTGACTAGTGGAGAATTCGCTGGTGAAAAATTACTCCTGTTAATAGCTCTCCATTCTTCTAGTTTGGCGCTGGGAAAGGACGGACTGTCACTAACTGGGGGCAAAACAGAGACATGGAAGACTGGAGTCAGACAGGACAAGCGTGGGGAGTAGAACTGCTACAAGAAGAACTTATTCAGTATAGTCTGCTGCACTGCCAACCATCTCAAACTCACCATACTCACTAAACACACAAAAAATGGTGTGTCACGTGTATGCACTCTATTCCGTAAAAAAAGCTCAAACACGTTTTTCATGAGCAATTTATGATCATAATGACGTAATGTTAGCATGTTTTAAATCAAATAAAGAAAATATATGATGTTCTTATACCGTAGCACATATAAGATCTTTCTTTCTGCATCGAAGATGCGGAAAAGATATCAAAATTTGGATTTATGTAGTTAATTCATCAGATGAAGCTTACAGTGTCATGGAGTCCTTCGGAGCATTTACCCAGAGTCTTCCTGGGAGGACAAATTCGATTTACTTTAACCGTTTCCCCTTTTTGCCTGATGGATATTATATTATACACGGTTCCTAAAGTTTGAAATTGGAAAAGAAAGCCCACCAGTGTTGTAACCTGAGAGGGCCACAAAGTAGATTTCCCCCCCTGCCTTCACGGAATCTGTGTGTCTTTGTATTGTTTCACAACTTATAAACAGGAATACACAATAAAGATGCCATACTTTGATGGAGTTTAGTGCAAATCGATTGTACCAGATCAATTTAGTTTTAAAAAGGTCGATTAGGAAAAACAAATCTACAGTTACATAGACCAAATTTAATTAAAATGCATACTTGGCATGAAGACTAGATGATGAGCATGACCAACCATTACTCAGTGTGTGTGTATGAGAGAGCGAGAGAGAGAGAGAGAGTGAGAGTGTGTGTGTAGGCCTAGCTGGTTGTAACCGAGCTCTAAATGATGACAAACTGTCCAAAAGTTCGCGGTACGCATTCTTCCTGTCAAACCGTCCTTGAAAGTATGTGTTTGTGGATGTTTTTCGGTGTTTGCTTCGCTAATGTTGTGGTGAAACGGTTGCTACACCTTATTGAGTGTAACCAACATCATACTTTATTTAGGTTTTCGAAAGCTTCCCTAAACATCTGCTAATAATTTGGAAATGCATTAATGGTTTATAAAGGTCGCCTATACGCAAAATCCTCCTCTGCGTTTGAAACATTATTGTCAACTATTGAAAATAGGCAAAGAACTACAGTTAAACAGGACAGGCTGCGGCCTTCACACTTTTTTTTGTGTACAAACACACCAGAACAGACAAACCGATTTTAAAGACTGATTCAATTTCCATGAAATGGAACAATTGCTTAAAATAAATCGTGACATTAATTGTAAAATGCTTTCGGCGTGAATTCAAGTAGGCTAATGCGTTGCTTAAGATGGTTACTGAAAAAGTAAAACATTGCTGTGTAAACATTTGCAAGTAAACCTAAATTGTTTTGTGAGGAGTTGAGACGTAAATGTTGGCCTAGTCTTGTAAAACATTGCTAACTATGAACACCTAATTTTATTTTTTTTGTTCTGCTGCGCCGAGTTGTCCAAAATATTCCACATCCGCTGCCTAATTATTACAACAAAAAAAAACTTAAACCATCTGTTTCAATGCAACCGTGGGGCTTCTGCACAAATCCCAGCACGCTGTTTGTATCATCACACCTTGCTGTACAAAAACGTTTGCTTTTTTCTTGAGGACCCTCCGATACATGATAAATAAAATAATTCAGTTAAATAAAAATGATTTTGGATATCTTAATAATCTTATGCTTTGGCCCTTCCATCACAACCAAAACGTCTCTTTTAATTTTTTCTCTGTTGCGCACAAACACACACAGTCACACACACTTGACAGGCCTGAGAGCATTGACTTTTCGCATGCCCCCACACGCACTCACATGGACAAGGACTTTCTTTTACCAAAAACTAAGAGGATGCTTACTTTGCTGCTCCGTTATTGATCGAATGCCCAGAATATCTGTAACAGAATGAGAGGAAGGCCATATCCTATGCATTGCCATGTGTCCAGGAAGAGTGGGCATGCCAGGCGGAGTTGGTACTTTAGTCCCAGTGGCTGCGATCGGAGTTGGATAGGAGTACAGGTGATTGTAAGGTAGGGTTGGTTGATGCTGGTGATGAGGGGCCTGTTTGCTCGACTCGTACTGGTTCTGTTGGGACAGATTTCCGATCTTGTTGCGGAGAATCCTACTAATCGAGCTGACAGAGGGCAGATTGAATTTATCACACACACCGTCCGCAAGCAGTCTGTCTCGAATCTCCCAAGCGAAAATGCCGGGATCCCGTTGCTTGTAAGTCCTAATGTGCTTGACTACGGTTGGGGTCGTGACCCTGGGTTTACTGCCGCCAATTGCGCCGGGAAGTATTGAGCCGGTTTCGTTGTACCGAGCCAGAATCTTGCTCACACAGCCGTGAGAGACGCGGAGCTGCCTGCTGATGTCGCAAGGCCTGATGCCCAGCTGTGCCAGCTCTACTATCCTGAGCCGGATGGCATTGGGTAGGGGTCTTCCGTTCACAAAAACACCGCCTAGCTGGTTCACCTCCCCAAAGGCTGGCTCTAGTGATGCAGATATATGAAGAAAAAAGGATTGCATAAAACATCAGATTTTTACACCGTCCGCAAGCAGTCTGTCTCGAATCTCCCAAGCGAAAATGCCGGGATCCCGTTGCTTGTAAGTCCTAATGTGCTTGACTACGGTTGGGGTCGTGACCCTGGGTTTACTGCCGCCAATTGCGCCGGGAAGTATTGAGCCGGTTTCGTTGTACCGAGCCAGAATCTTGCTCACACAGCCGTGAGAGACGCGGAGCTGCCTGCTGATGTCGCAAGGCCTGATGCCCAGCTGTGCCAGCTCTACTATCCTGAGCCGGATGGCATTGGGTAGGGGTCTTCCGTTCACAAAAACACCGCCTAGCTGGTTCACCTCCCCAAAGGCTGGCTCTAGTGATGCAGATATATGAAGAAAAAAGGATTGCATAAAACATCAGATTTTTACCAGGCCCTGAACCGCGTCTGAAATAAAAAAAAACTTTTGGATAAATGTTTCGGTAAGATTAGCCTACTCTTTATCGGCTGTTTATATTTGCATTGAATCAAAGATTGCAATTTATGTTCAGTTTTATGTTTCAGTTTATTGCATTGAGTGGAACAAACTCACAAGTCACTCTGCAAATTCTTTAAACAGAAAAAAAACACCAAGTTACTACATTCTTTAACACGTAGGTCATAATAAACGAAATGGCACATTCAGTAGTTTTGGACGCGATTAAGCTCATTCGCGGCAAAGTGCCATTCTGTTTCCCGAAATGACCGTCAAAGCATCCGTCGATTTAAAAGTCTGAGTCGAGACCTGGATCATACGTTACTTACTTGTCTAACCCATTTTTTCCCCAAAAGTGTTTATTAATGCCGTTCCCATGTGGGAAAACATGAAATATGGATCTTACCCATTGCGTTTAGCCTGCCGATGAAAAAAGAAACTTCACTGTGCTGTCCTTTTCTGACCTGTTCCGAGTCCAGTTTAGCTGGGTTTTATTGCGCCGAAGCCGATGTGGATGGAAATTAAGCGTCCGAGACGGATGCGATACCGATTAGTTGCAAGAGAGGAAAATTCGCCTTCTGTTTCCTGATGGCAGGGAGCACAGGCTTACATTTCAATCCCAGAAAATGATGGGCTGGCCCTTTACACATGTCTCCAAAGCGAGGTGCTGCCAGCCAATCAAACCGCGCGTTTCTTCCTTGTTCTTTTTCTATTGGCTGACAATTTTGACATGACAGGCGCTTGCACTGGCGTAAGACTCCCCTCTCGCGTTTGAACTAGTGGACAGGGTTACCCGAGTGTTGGTTTTCCTTTTAGACAGATCTAAGGATGGTAAGTGTTTGAAACATTGCACTGTAATTTTGTTTCATAAGCATAAATTCTAATGATTTCGTCGACTAAAACAAGGGAGAAATTTGCAGGGCAGTATTTTTTAAACAGGGGCCCTGTGATTTATCCTGATGTCATTTAAATTGCTCTTAATACGCGTCCGATTTATTAAGTGGTTTGAGTAATAATGAGTACAAACGACATCTTTATAAATGCATTTTCATTTTGTCATATAGCCTAGTTCCAGAACCAACATTTAGACGTGCTGTTTTCGATCTGAAGAAGAAAAAAGAAGGGCTAAACAAGTGACCATGGAACAGTCCCAAAAGTCGTTCTACGTTAATGGCTTTTTTTTTTTTAGCTTTGTTTAACATTTACCTGTAAAGTGCTGATTCTTTACATAAAAAAATGATATTTTGTATAAACTCTTCATAACACATTGCCTTTTCTGCCACAATGTAGTCACTGTGCGAAAATATGAAGATTTTAAAAATATGAAGGCCATAAACGAGATTCTTTTATGCTTTTATTTTCATTGGATTATGTTTCCATGGCAAAGCAATCACGGACCAATGAAGTCTTTGTAAAGGAGACAACGACTTATGTGTTAAAAAGGATAAATATTGTCCGGTGTATGTTTGATGCTGAGGATACCAATAGGCTAAATGTGAGCTATCATTAATAACATTAATAACAAACTGACCTAATGTTAAAGTATATATTTAAAAAAAAAAATGTATATATATATTTTACGGTTTTAATTATCATGTGTTTTCGGTAATTGGTTGGTACACATAGGCTATACGAAACATGAAAAAAAAAACGTGTAGTCTATTATTTTTATGTTAATATGTGTGGGCATATATACATATGTTATTAAATATATATGTTAGTATATAATACGTTTTATGTTGAGGCCTACAGGATTTGAAACCCCTTTTAAAGTTGTCAGGTGTAGAAAGGTCATGTATTGTTTAGCTGCGTTCGGGACTGTTTGAACACAATGACAGCCACGGCAAAGATAGTGGGATGTTATTTGTATTATTGTTGCTTCCTGTTTACTCAAAAGACTTGAGCCCTTTCATGGTTTCAGCGTTTGGTTTTCTCTTACTGTTTAGAGTATTTCTATCTCAAATCTCACCGAGGGCTTTATACTCTTAGTTCGAATCTCGAAGCTAACTAATTTATTTTTTTTTGTATCCGTTTCACAAACTTCGTATGGATAAAAAACGAATTGGCGTTCATTTATGTGCATTTCAGCATTGTCCCAAAAAATCATTAAATTAAGATGCTCCTTGACGTTCTCCAAGCATTTCCTACACCATAGAAATATGTTTTTATCTGGGCTGGGTTTTAAGGCCCATCTCCTGTGTGTCGCTACTCACTAAAACGTTTCCTATTTGTTGAGATGTCTTAAATCACTCAAATATCTAAGTTTCCAATCGATCTATGAGGGAGATTCAAAACATTTGCATTATTCAAATCAGACTTTTACTTTCTGAAGAACTACCTCCAAAGTAAACACCATAGGTTTGGCTTGTTTGTGGCTTCGGTCGAGTGAGAGGACAAAACAGATGTGGAGTATAGGGAACTCCAAAAGAAAGTGGATTAAACCTGATCTCGTGCTGTGTTTAGGTTAAGTGTCTCTGGAGACGCATATATCGAAAGAAAAAATACGATGACTATTCTCCAGATTAACTGTTTGGATATCTTAAAGCATTTTAATGTAGGTTTAGTTTAGTCGCTGTATTTAATGTTTTCTTGCGTCTTTTGATTGCAGAAGGAGAGCATAAATCCCGCGCACTACTGACCACTGAAAGATAGAGAAGGGGGTGCGTTAATGAAGTGTGAAGACTGATGTGAAAGGAAGCCTGCTTCCACACTTTCAGACTTTGCGTGGGAGAGACCCACATGATATTAGACTCTACAGTGGCTTTGCAAGACACCGTGAACTTCTTGGAAATAGTCCACGAATTAATTATGAAAACAAAGTATAATCATAAACGTAGTGTTCCGCGATAGTAGCAATGACAGTATATCCAAAATTGTATGCAATATTTTAAAAGGAATAGTATTGAAACAAGTAGGAATAGAGTAATTAAAAAGGATATTCCTTTATGATTTTATGCAGTTTTTTTATAATGGGAGATTTAGGTGGAATATTTTCATAGGATACCCGATAAGACCCAAATTAGAAACGCTATTAACCAATTTTAAATAATTTTCACATTATTCGTTTATTTATCATTTCTATATAGGCTACTATGGCTAATACGAAAGCGCACATTTCTATTTCATGTTAGGAAGCCGATTTATAATTATATAAATGCATAATTTCTGGCATCGGTTCTTATTTGTAATTTGTTTGTTGGTTATCACTTATTAGACATTAATATGGTGAATTTGTTCTACATCGTAGGGGTAAGCGATTGCTTGATTATCGCCGGTTGCTATGTTGGAATGGAGCTGATGAAGTTGGGTGCCTTGGATGAGAGTACACGGCCATGCAGTTTAATTTCAGCTTGAGCTGCACAGACTGGTCAGAATAATAATTTGTCTTTCTATGACGTTTTGTGTCTTTCTTTTGAAGATTTTTTTAAAGGGGTCGTTCACCCAAAAAAGAAAATGCTGTCATCAGTTACTCACCTTCATGTCGTTCCAAACTTGTTTGATTTTTTTTTCTTCCTGCGGAACACAAAACAAGATACTTTAAAGAATGTTGGTAACCAAAGAGTTTTGGTAACATTGACATTTATTTTTATGGACAAACAAAACACTGAGACATTCCTCAAAATATCTTATTTTGTTTTCCACCTAAGAAATAAAGTCATGCCGGTTTGGAACGACTTGAGGATGACTAAATGATAACAGAAATTCATTTTAGGTGAACTATCTCTTTATCGGCTTGAGGAGATGGTTCACAGCACGTCAGTTCACGTCAGAAGATTTCAGCACTCTGCGCAACGCATCTCACCAGCACGCTTCATTCATAAATACAATAATCTACATGCATGTTTCTATGTGGTTCTCAGTATTTATAGGACGATGAATGTTTTATAGGCTAGATTAAACGATCTGGAATATTTTACATGCAAATGATGGGTTATATTTCTCTATGACACACCCCACATTTATGAAGAATCGTTTGTGTTAATTTCAGACCAGCTCGAAATGTTTTTCGTTCGGAAATGTGCGCGAGAATCACAAGTGCAGCTCACTGCTCAAAATTGTTCTTATTCGTCGCAAGAGCATTCCATCATCCTGTCCTACTTGGGAAAAAAAACATCTGCATTTATACAATTAATATTCTTATTAAATATTATTATACATGGTAATAAAAAACCGCTTGTGTGGTCAACAGGGAAAAAACAGCGCTTTATATTTAAAAATAATAATAATGATAACAATAATCATAATAAAAAAAAATAATAATTGTATTATTATTGAACAAAAATAGTGCATTTAATTAATCTGTATAATAAAAAGAAGCCAAGTTCACATGATACGCTTCATCTTAAAGACTGGTCGCACATGGTCCGAGAGGGTGGAAGTCAGAAGTTTATTTTGACTCATTACACATCTCAGCTGCCATGAGCTCATTACATTTGAAAGCATCTGACCCTCTGATAGTAATGACTTTGTACATTAAGACTAGTTAATCTCGTTTTAAGAAGCACGCTTCAAGAATTTCAGGACCAGAAATTAAGAGAACACTGAATGTGGCAATGATTTCAATCATCTCCTATTCTCTGTGTTCTTTAGTGTAAAGCCGATGCCATCAGTCAATACGTTTCCGACTGTGGGGGGCCATGATGAGAAGATATTCCTAAAACGTGACGGATGAACGCAAAAGAAAATAGGCGATTCTGCGACGAGCATGCAGAGTACTATTTACGTTATAGCTAATAAAATAATCGAAAAGATCCATTGTTTTGAGCTTAGATACTTGAGGGGCTACAGTGTTTTGATACGGTCTTGGACATTCATCTGGCATGGGCTTCTCATTCATAAAAACGGAACGGAAAGTGCATGGTTCGAGTCAGTGTCATCCACTTTTTAGACCAATGTAATTGTTATGTGTATCATTAGATACCAGTTGAGACACCAGGTGTTTACCCACTTCTAAAGAAACATTCGCAGCGGTTACTAACATATCTTTATTTATACACTCGTCTCAGTTGTTTTTGTCTGGAGCATTAGTTCGGGTGTGTGGTGAAAATAGCTTTCAAAGAGAGCCCAGGAATATTGTATAGCCTACTATTTCACCGAGGGAACAAATGGCCATGGTTTTGCATGGTCATTTGACAAGCAATTGCCATAGAGTCATTACAATTGCTTGGCCTTCTGACGATTGTGATTGGATATAGATAGATACTCTATTAAACATTTAAAATGTGATCATGCACGAAACAACCAAACATTGCTAAAACAATCAATGCGTTGCATTCTATAAGCAGTCAAAAAAACTGACTGGAATAGGCGAATCAACATATCACTAATTAAAGATTACATTTATAAAATTTGATTGTAGACTATGTTTATTATCAACTCACACATTTTTAAGCCATTCCTAGAATCATGCATTTTGACCAGAATGTATTTTGCTAAAATGTAGCATTATATTTGGGCAACAGGCGAGTTTGTTCGGTTGATTGAAGTGAACCGTCGTGTATGAATTCCGCTAATAATGTCAAAAATATCTTAATATTTCATATATAGTTATGGAAGTGTGTATTGTATAA